ACCGCTAGGAGTTGAGACTAAAGAGAACTCTCCTTCAACTTCAACTTAAGGTAATTATCTGTAATGCGCCTTCGGGGTGATTATTCGAAATGAACTCCTTTGAGCCATTGGTGGATAATGAAACCAGAGGATTATTATGTAAATGGTCCGGTCGGGAGAATGAAGTCGGGCCACATTTCTATTTTAGAAGTCATGTCGCTCCCTCGCTCGGGCCTCAAAGAAGTGTTCCACGAGTTCTGAATTAGTCTGGTACGGAGGGAGTTCTTACAATTTATTCTTAAAACCGAAAACAAAAACTATAGCAGAATATTTTGAATAATAAATGTAAGAAGTCGGAATAAATACAGCCAATTATTGCGAAAACTTCCATTGATATTTTTTGTTTCCATTAACATCAAGTAAATTTGGTTCAATCGCTGTCATCAGTGGAATATATTTGACGAGCGAAACTTAGATAGCCATTAATCTAAGTTTTATTAAATATTGAAGGACTGCGCCATTTGGTACAGGGATGCTATATCAATTTTTTCAACTACTTCCGCTTATAAAAGCGCAGCGCATTTTTGTTAATACATCTCCGTTAAACACAGCACTTATAATTTGACTGACTCCAAGTTAGACAAAGGATTTGAAATCGATAATTTTTAAAAATCATTTGGTGATTTTTATTAAGAGAGATTTTTATTATTTATCACAAGTGATAAAAATCGTACCCTGACCATTATTTTTGAATAAAACTTTTACAGTTAACAATAATAATAATTTTTGGGTGATATTTCTTTAAATCGAATATGAATTTTTTAAAAAATTTTCATGAAATATTTTGGGTTTGGAGATCATATAGAGAGGTGGAGAATATTGTTGTCAACTATGAGCAACATATTATCTTTATTTCCGAAATTTACTAGAAATTTTAGATTACAAAAAAATAATAATAAATATACATAATCAGTGTAGGTACTGAGTGCACAATTAAAGCAAATTCAGAAATATAATATTAAAAATGTGTACATTAATAGCAAATACATATATATTAATATCTAATGGCTATTTTTATTTTCTGATAAATGTTTTGGATCACGATTTAATCATTATTATTTATTTAAAACCGTATCACACAGGGAGATATCATTATTTTTAATCGAATCAATAAACATCAAAGGTTTATTTAAATTTCTGTTTAAAAATCAAGCAGGGTTATTAAATTTAAAATCAAATATAATAATTATTACTTGATTTTGTGGGAAAAATAATTATCGATTTCAAACCCTGGACACAAAAGTGGTCCTTTATTAATTCAATTAAATTCCACTAACTAATTTTGCGTATGCATACTCAACTACTTGCCCCATATATTTATTTCTGATTTGAATCAGTTCAAATCGATAAAATCATGGACCCTCAATCGTAAGTAATTATTACAAAAAAAAAAAATTAAGGTAAATTTTGTAATCTTAATTGGAAAAAATATTTGAAAAAAAGGAGATAAAATAATCAAATTTCCAGAACAAAGCTAAGATGAATGGCTTATAATGAACTGAAGACAGCCGGGCATCTCGTTGCCAGGGGCAGATGCAAATATAATTGCCATGTGCGGATTTAGACAAGTTGATAAAAAACTCGCGCAAAAAGTAGGTCAGTACATCTCCCACACCGTTGTCATCGAGCACGCAAGAGGACACAAACGCAAACGACGAGTGTACAGGCCTGTCAAGGAAGATACGTTTGCGATTGAGGAACCGAAACTAGTCGATGGAATTTGATCAAGTAGATAGCCATTTACTTGCACAATCTCTTAAAATTTCATCGAAATCGGATGGACTATATAAAATTTTCGATTTTAAAAGTAAACTGTTTTCACTCACTTGCATGAAGATAGAACTTCCCCATAATTGGTAATCAGAAAGCAAAAAATTGACAGAAGTGTTCTGCAGCACAGATGAAATAAAGCAAGAAATAAATATTAAAAACATCTAGAATACCAACAGAGTTAATGCGTTCTAATGCTTATCGAAGGAAAAAAAATGGATTCCATAATAAAAAAAATAATTACGACACTGACATTTACAGAATTAATTCTAAGGACGATTTCATCGAATCTTACAAGGACACAAAAAATTAGTCGAATCTGGAAAAAGAAGGTCGATCTTTAAAATACGATTTATATAAGCCGTTTAGAGAAAGTGCTTGATATAAGTATCCAGGGCTACTTAGCAGATATACACATTAACCGATTATGAAGGCTGTGGGCTAACTCAACTCTTGTCAGTTTACGGTTTTTAATCGATTGATTATATTCAAATACTTTTAAATAAATTTAATCCTAAAACAAATTATTAATGATATTTATTAAACAAATATTAAATTTAGCTGAGATGAGGGAGAGGTTACTGCACCTGCACCACTGCCATAAAAATCTAACGGTCTCAGATCTGCCAGTTCCGGGTTTCAGCTCCACCCTTCGAGTGCATCACGCATCGATTTATCGATATCATCATTTTATTTAAAATTAAAAAAAAAAAACCTAACTCTAGCATTAAATCCCCGCCTTCACCTCAGGCCCGGAAAAAGCCCGTATAGCCTAAAAGGCAAGAACAAAAAAAAATCACCTTTTTACTTACAAAGAAACAAAAAACAATGACCTGACGAAGTTTCAATATCTTTAATTCTTAATGAAAATTAAATAAATTATGGCTAAATAAGGCGGAATATTATCCATTGAAGAAAATAATATTAATTATTTTAAGATAAATGCTATTTTTTATAGGGCTAAAATGGCCGAAACGTACATATAAAATAAAGATTCGTGGAACAGAAAATCGAGATGACTTTTGTATTATCATAAATACTAATATTAATATGCATAAACGTCCACGACGAATTAAAAACCAACTCTCGTAGACTTGAATGAAACAATAATATCCTCATGAATTGAACGGTTCAGGAAATTACTCTCACCTTTATGGTCACTGTGTTGTGATTAATTACAAATAAATGCTCATTTGTAATTTTAATTCAATTACATTTATATATATATATATATATATATATATATATATATATATATATATATATATTCAAACTTCACTATTTTATTGGGAATAAGGTCACTTAATTTTAATTCTATATCTTTACAACTTTTCTTTCATCGACCTTTGAGTATTAAATTCAAACTTCACTATTTTATTGGGAATAAGGTCACTTAATTAAGTGACCTTATTCCCAATAAAATAGTGAAGTTTGAATTTAATACTCAAAGGTCGATGAAAGAAAAGTTGTAAATATATATATATATATATATATATATATATAAATGTAATTGAATTAAAATTACAAATATATAATATCATATATATATTATATATATATAATAATGGGCAGGTTTGTCTTTATCCTATAACATGTTCTTAATAAATAAAGGTTCATCTTCTATATTTTATTTATTTTTTTAAAATTCTAAATCACAACAATCAATTGTTGCTTGCTCATTTAATATAAAATATCCAAACAGAAATTAACAAAACGAAATATTTTTGACGTCAAAAATAAATATTATACAATTTAAATTAAAAGAGGTCACTACCACAAATCGCGATTTCATCGTAACACAGATTTTTTTTGGTTTATTTATTTCTTTTAAATCGATAACCTTTATTCTTTCAATTCCACCGAAATTCGGCAACTAAAAACTTTAAAAAGATCTAAACGATAATATTTAATCAGACAACAGTGGATGATCTAATGATGTTTCTTTATATTGTTTCCTATCATGTTTGGGGTTACGAAGGTCATATGGTTGTGACTTTATCAGAATCCTTTTTTGTTGTAAATAAAATCATGATCACATCGTATTTTTATAAAATAAGCTAAATACTATTCGTATTAATTAAATGAGCTTTTATCCTCCTGGCTTGAGGATCCTAAGTGCGAAAAATGCAACATTTTGCGGAAATATTTAAAAGAAATATTTCAAATATTAGTTAGCTTCTATAAGACTTGAAAAGGTGATTAGGTAAAATAGAAACAGCTTGGAAAAGTATCGAAAACTATTTCATTGCTAGATGATAGAATTCCAATCCTCCTTCAAGGATGCGTATCGTGACAGGCGTCTTTCTCGCCGTGACGGCTCTCCAGAGGATGACAACTGCAACGAGATAACCATCGAACCTGGAGGAAGGGCTTTAAATTCGATTTGCGTTCCGAAACGTAGTAAATCAAAATATCATATAATAAGAAATAGAAAAATTAACAATTATTGGTATTGATTTCATATGTATTTATTTATTTACTATTTTTTATTACATAAAATTGCATTATTTGCCTAAGAAATGCAATTTTGTTATTTGATTTTAATTTTATACTTTGATATTAATTATTTACAAATTAAAATTCGTTCTGCACTTGAATAAATTAAGAGAGATTTAATGCGGCTGATATCTGCCGTTGATTTTAAGACAAATTAATAAGACAACTTATGACAAAGCATAAACTGTTCACTTGACAGTCTGCTGGTTTTAAAATAAACAAAATATTAAAAAAAAAAGTTGTAAGAAATCTGATGAACTATAAAAACTCTGGTAACCAAAACGTCTTTAAAATTATTATTATTTTTTTTTTAAAGTGAAGTTACTTTTTTGTTTCGAGAATCCCTAATAACACGTTATTTTATCTTAAGGACACATTTAATAATAAATTGCCCTTAAAAAGTATTCAGTCGGAATGAAATCACTCATTAAAGCAGCACACATGTTTGTTATTTCTATCATTAACAACGAAATTATCAAATAAAATTGTACCTGTGAATTTGTTAACACTAAAATCTAAGAAAAAAATACAATTTGCTGACTGGAATCCTTTAAAATATAATCTTATTCACTAAACATCACAATCACAGATTAATATATTTTCCTCAACACTATACTCGTATACTGACTGCCCCAGCTATAATACTGACCAACCAGACCACACTAAAGATATATAATAATATACAGTGACAATACCAGATGACACTCGATCTACAGGACATAGAACTCTGCAAGAGCGAAGACAGAACCTCACAGCTCCAGGCACAGCAAGGGTACTGAGGTATCTGTGGGCAGTCCAGCGGGGAGGGGGCGCGCTCTAGCGGGGGCTGCCGTCAACTGCGGTTCGCGGGGGAGTATCCAGGTATCTCGGGGTATGGGGCGAGGTATCCAGGGGAGGATCTGGGGATCATCTTCAAGGGGGGGGGGGCGAAAAAAATAAATACTCCACAAAGCCTATCAAAAACAAAAACAGAACGGAGAAAAAAAGAACGATGAGGAAACATGCACTCCAATTCCACCATATTGTCACAGACTAAATCGAAATCAAATTCAAAACAAAACATACATTTATTTAATAATTTAATTATCGAGATTAATATTTCTCTTTAAATATAAACAAGGAATATATTAAAAATGATGCAATTGAGAAGTTTAGTTCCAAACCATTTATTTAAAAAAAAAAAGTTTATTGTTTTATGTTTATTTTTATAAAATTATGTGAGTTTTTTTCATAACCGTCTAGATCTACTAAAAATCAATACCTACAGATTAGATTTCCTATCAAACATACTCCTTTTTTTATCAGTTCTGAAGCATTTTTGAAAATGGATGTAACTGGTTTTCAAACCTGACGCCTCAATTAGTAATATTATTAAACAGTTTATTTTTTTAATTTAAAAAACTTATTTCATTAAGTCAGGATTTGATATTATATAAATGAATATCCTCCAGAAAATGGAATAAAAATATTCCCAAAAACAAACTTTCTTTGTACAGCGACCTTCAGATGAGATCAAGAGGTGCCTGCCTATATCCATATAGACCTTTATACCTACGTTTCTTGTACATATAGGCCGAGATTGTCGAGCGAGGTAATCGAAAATAAGGCAATATATATAAGTGGATACTATAATTATTACTGCAGCAATTATTTCAATAATATGCTGACACATGCGCTCTCTGTAGATCCATTTCCATATTAAGAACAACACCCTCTTAAATAACATAGCTATGGCTAAGATAATTATAAGACGATTCAAGAGTTGCTGAATGAGAGACCTCCTTTTGCATATTTCATCCATTTTGTATGTAAGAAATAGGATGACCATATTTAATAATCTCATGTGCTAATTGCTATTACTATCGATGACTGATGTCTATGAAGAAATCAATATAAAAACATCTAAGGTGTGTGTGTTTGAGACCAAACGAAAGAAATGAACACATCAACGAGGCGAGATTAGTAATATTAAATATACATTATAAATAATAGCTCATTATAAAGAGGTTGAGATGATGAACAATTCCCTTGTTTACAGCATGCAGGTCCTATTTTTAGTTTCTGAGATATTTTAATCCATATTTTTTATAAAACTCGTTATAATTTGTTTTTAAAAACTATTTTTTCGTTTTTGCCTCTCCAACACGGTGCCGTGTTAAGATTAAATTTTTAACAATTACCCATTACAGTGAGGATGAAATTATGAACATTTCGCTTGATAAAAATAAGGAGGTCAGATTTTTAGTTTGTAAAAATAGTTCAATTAGTCGACTCTAGCCGACTTTACCTTTAGTGTTAATACTTAAGAAATCTGACGGCTCAATATAATTCACACTCCACAAAAAAAAAGTGCAAAACCCGCCCATTATTATTATTGTTTATTTTGTACAATTATAAATAAAATATATTTTGCATGCAATATGCAGTAAATGTGAAAGTTGTAGTATAAGGTTATTGACTGAATCAATTATAAATGTCTATTACCTATATAACTATCAAGAGGACATAGTGATAAGGGAAGAAGAGCAAATCAACCTACAAATAAATGAAGATATAAACAATGGTAGTAAGTTGAAAACAATACCCCAGTATGAGTCACAAAATTGTATGAGTTTCTCGTCAATATTTTACTTCGCATTTTCTGTCACTTATTTTTTGTTTCTATACTTTTCATCCAGTTTTCTATGACGAAAAGGAATAAATTATTATAAATGTAATAATAAATTAGTATAAATGTAATCAGATACAGGTAGGAATTTTTTCTTACTCGGTTTTGGTATAAGTTTCTTGACTGAATTCGCCAGATAATTAACAAAACCTCAAATTACCGCAGCTGATTTTTGTATTCATCATTAGGAGAGGATTCATCATTTGATTTCAGTAAGACGTTGGCGGTCGTTGGCGCGAGGTACTTTCCGATGGAAAAACGAAATTCCAGGTTCCGTTGAGCGATAACTTATCCAAGAACATACGAATTTTTTGAATTTATTATAAATTAAATTCTTTGACTCATTTCAACACACTCCACAAAAAAAAAAAAAGTGCAAAACCCGCCTATAGATGTTTTCACTTCGGAAATGATTTGTATTAGTTAGTAATATAAACAGCTGATATCCGATCTAATATTAACAGCTGATATCCGATCTAATATTAACAGCTGATATCCTCCCTAATACCAACCTCTGCAATGGAAACAACTGTAAAAGCAGCGAGGAGAGGTCGCGCCGCGTTGTCGAGGAAGAGGTGTCATATCGAGAGAGAATGCATTAGAGCCTCCTTTTTCGAGATATGAATAATGTAACAGTTCCTCCAGGCAGTCGTAAGGCTCACTCCGGAGGAAAACAAACACAAAAGAGACGGTTCTCCGGCCCACGCTCGAGGTTTCAACTGGTCTGTCTGGTGTCGTTCAAGTGCCAAGGGTACTGGACTAGTCTGTGCATTATCCCAAGTCGGGGTAGAGCTTAAGTATTCTTTAAATTACTCTTTACAAACATCAATAAAAACAAACAATAGATTTATAAAAATGGAAATAAATCTTCAAAATAATCTGTAAAAGCCATTATTCGTCTAAAATCATATACTTCAGGTCTACTCAGCGGAGGAGGTGTCATTACATTTCAAACAATATCTTGTATTAGCTAACTTTTATCATAAATATATCATTAATACTGGTACAGGCATAGTGGGAGAACAATATGTCAATGGAGACTATTTTTCATTCATCCGGAACCTTTAAGTTTTCCTAATGAAATTCAAAATGTCCGGCCATTCGATGGAGGAAACCTTTTGTTCCGATGTGCTATCAGAACCTAGTATGGTACATAACACCTAAGCGATGAGTAACGGTCGCATTCTGTCGACGTAATATTCTCCTCACACATAGGTTTCTGACAAATGGCAGGTTTTAACAATAATAACAACGAAAATCTTTAAATCTTTTTTTTTTTTCTCTTTAAATTGTAACAATATCTAATATTGACCAACAAAGAAATGTTTTTAAAGTTTCAAAAAAAAAAAAAGAATTTTGAGTCAGCAATGGTGCTGCGATAGTTAAAATATATCATCCGACAATTTCATTATTTAATTTGTAAACAAGTCAACTTATGATTTTAGCTGAATATAATGATGAAACAATATATTTATTAAGCCGATGATAAATAGTCCCGTTAAACCCTTGTTCCCTAAAAACGCCGCGAGTCGGATAGAGGTGCAGTATAACCAGTTGTAACGAATTGGATAAAAGCTCTTGATCAAGTTGGGTTTTTCGATTTCTGCTCAACAGCTGTATTTATCTACCATTACAAAAAAACCTATACCACTACAACTACTATTTAGGAAAAGTACTGTTACTTAGTCAACGTTGTGAAAGGAGGTGATTGTGCCGAGATTACGCTTAATCGTCAGGTTTTCCCTCTTAACTAATTGGTAAATTAAGATGACTCTCTTCATAAAGGATGGGTGTGCCACCCAGGTAGGTCAACCAACCCTAGGGTTGATCCACGGCTGATGAGACAGAATAAACCATTACCTGCTAACATCACAGTTCGAAACCGGAACCTTCAGCCTTGGAAGTCAGTGCCATACCCACTCAGCTACCCCACACTCCCTTCATCCACCATTAGGCCTGTTTTATTTTTGAAGAACAGCTTCTGTTTTTCGAAATACTTTCTGTGAAATTTGGAGAGCACTCAGCAAAAACAACCCCCTCGATATTGTTTCCGATTGGACTGATTGGACAATTTTCCAACAGATTCGGGCCCAATCCTTTAATCCGCATTCAGAAGATTTTTAGAAAGGGACCATCCGCTATCTCTAAATGTAAGGCTTTTATGCAAATTGCTTCTTTCCGGATTATAGCAACCCTTACCTCGATTAGCATTTAAATATAAACACAATTAACACAGATAAACATACAGGAATAGGAATTAACGACTTTTTAATGAATTTTAAATATGTAATACACATATTTAAATTTTAAATGTAAAAGAGGATATTCGAATGGAATATGGAACATTTATTTATCCATAAAAGAATACAACGAGAAATTTCCTACAAATAAAATGATAGCATAATGGAGGTAAATTACTACAATTCAGAATATGAAAGTAAATAGCAGATACCAAAGCCAACCATATCTAAGCTTTCTTTTCTAAACAAATAATAATTCAGTCGAAAGTGGACAATTATTCAAATAAGTTAAAAAATATCGATATTTTGAAAATATATTATCGATTAAATTTCAATCGAAATGTAGCTTTAGAAGAATGTAATGGCCATTCAAGAGATATTAAACTATTTTTGTGTAAGATTGATTATTTACGAAAGTTGCTGTGAATAATTTTCAACTGTCACGAGAACTTGTAACAAATTGTTTTCTACACTCAAAGAAAGCAAAATGACATTAAAAATTGTAATATGATATTCTTACATATGGCGTCTTCAATGAGTATAATTTAAATATATAATTTAAAGATTTATTCAACTTCAAACGACGTTTCGAGTTAATCTGCTACTTATCAAGTCATCAAAAATTCTATTCAACGAAAATACATCTCTATATTATAATTTCATTAAATGTTCGTTTTTGGTATGTTAAATACAAAAAATCAACACTTCTTCATCTCATTTTATGCGCATTTACTCAAATGCTTTTCCATTCTCAAAAATTGCTACTTCATCCCCCTCTCTTGTTTAAAGTTTAAAGTCTAAAATCAATGTTAAACAATAGAGGGGGGATGGATGTAGTACGGAGTTTCGGGAATGGACAAGCATT